CAAAGAAAACCAAACACAAAACCAAAAAGCACAGCAGGTGACCTGACGACCTATGTAGCAGTCCACTCCCTTGAACATTTGGTAGGACTCCAGAGGCTGGTAGGCTAAGGCAAAGCAGATGCAGTAGAGCACCTCTGTCATGTGTGATGTTGACAGTCATACCCGCAGTTCTGTGCTATTCCCATTCTCCTCTCTTTCAGAGGTAGGGGGGTTAAGACAGGAATTCAAGTCTGCCAAGTGAGCAGAAACCTGTCACATCTACAGAAAATGCATTTTGGGTGCTAAAAGTAAATAAATGCCATCCCACGCTATCACTGCCTTTGGATTCTTATTCATTTCAGTATTTAGCTATCTAAACCTCACTTGCTTCAAGTAACAGCAGAGAAAGGGGAGGGAGAGCAACAGAAATCCATGGATTTAGAAAACATTACATAGAGCAGGGCGAATGTGATCTAACAACAAAGCACAGGACATGATCACACCATATGGTATCAACTCAATTGACCCCAAAGGATTTATTTTAGATACTTAAATGTATAATCAATGTGAGAATCTACCTCTAGGCTTACTTATGATATGCTGCCTAAGTTTCCCATTGGTGAAAGGATTACTATAGTGATTAAAAAACATTCACCAGTCCTACAGACACTGGAGTGTTGGCAGAAGCCTGTACTCACCATGTGCTGGAAGTGCCTCACAAGGTGTTGCTCTATGCAGAGTCACCATATTTTCCACTTGAAGTCTATACTTTTACAAATGTACCAAGCACATTTGAAAACAATTTGTTCTTGCTGTTAATTTATATGAAAAATCCTGCTGCATTTGTATGACATTGAGAGCAAAAAATAAGAAAAAAAATTGTCCAAGCAGACAATGTATTTGATATTGCAATGATAATAACCCTGGCTAGATTCCTGTGGGCTGGCAATGCCATCTGCCTAGTGGATGCAGGATCCAAAGACCATTGTAAGACTGTCTTTAAGACTGGGTCAAAGCTAAGGAGTGCTAGTTGAGTCAAACTGATTGAATGCAAGGTAATGACAGCCGTGCAAGAGAGGCACTGATCAGCAGTGGGTCCCTTGGGCTTTGCCATGGCAGGAACCTCATTCTCAGCCTTTCTCTCAGGAAATGTCATTATTCTCTACCATTTCTTCATTGTTGCATCTGAAGGAATATGTTTTTCTCCCTGTATGGAACTAAAAGGAGGAAAGCATGCCTGAATGCTAGTGTCTTGTAAAGAATATTCAAGTACTGGAGCCAGAGGAAAAGCCAGAGACCTGTGTCTGATCCGCTTTATTCAGCCTGCAAGCAAATGAGCTGCAGCCTGAGATCAGATGATCAATATTCTACCTATTTCAGCAGATCTTTTAAAAACTTAGCATTTCTGACCACATGGGTAGAAAGGTCACTGTTTAACAGACCTCTTGCCTTTACCGCTGTTGACCCAACAGGTCTCATTCATGCTGTTACAAGTCCCAAATATACCTACTGATCGTGATGGCCTCAAGTATCCAGTCAAATTTTCTCCTGTAAGTTTTCACTTATACTTGTCTGACTCCTGCTCAGTTATTATCAATTTAGATCACTTTAAAGGAAGAGTAAAGTCACAGTCAACACTATTGTTGCCCAAAAAAAAAAGTCTCCTTCTCTGAGAAAATGTATATTTTCTTCAAATCCAAAAAGATCATTCTTTTCCATTTCAAAATAAATAGAAATACAGACACACGCTACCTACATTTTAACTGAATACAGTTATTAAAGACAGTTTCCTGTAAGGCTACATATAAATCTGCTGCAGAGTAGTAGACAATATATTTCAATACATTAATAATATATTTCAATATGAAGTTGAATAAGAGATCTGATTCTACCACACATGGAATTTCCGCATCTTTGACTGACAGTCATGACCACGTTTAAGTGCAAAGTTTGAAAGTCTCATGAGCAGATAATAAATAGTAATGAACTGGCACTAGCAATTCTGTGGTAGGAAGAGGTGGCTGCGTTCAGGAACGGAAACACGTATTCGTTTCTGAGAATAACTTTTGCAACGGGAGTTAGAAGGTGCCACTTCTCCAGGAGGTGTTTTAATCTGCTACATCCTTCTGGTAACCTCAGTCAAGAAAGATATAAATACGGAAGCAGGGGCCATAATGTATAAAATAACAATAGGAAAAATTTCTAAGATACACAACACCAAACCAGCTAGAGGATCACTAACCAGGAAAGCTCCAGCAACTTTTTTCCAGAACTGCAGACTAGCCCTGAACCGCTACATTAAAGTGGTTGGGGAAGACAAATTCATTTCTCTTTCCATATTTTCACTATTTCCCCCTTCCTCCAACTTGAAAAAGGAAAATGAAGAGAAGAAAATTGCATACAACTGGAATTCTAGACTTACCAAAGCTACTAAGGTTTCCAGACCACAGAACATGCTGCTAAAGGGCAACTAATTTGTCTTGTAGCAGGCAAGGCTTTGTGTCTCCTTGTCTACCTGATGAATGTAGAAGTTTCAGTTCCCCGAGACAGCGCATGCAACTCATTTCCAATGTAATGTACATGGCTATTTATTCATTTTCTAGTAATTAGTATCCTGCAGAGAAATCCTATTGCCAATCTATTTACCTAATATAATAAATTATTGCAAAAAGCAAAGTGGGAGGAATTTCTTATGTTTTATTAGCATTTGGTAATTTTGATCTTTATAATGATGTCTGCTGACCCCTAGCCTGGAGCTGTGTTTCAAAGCAGTTTCTTTAGCAATTCTTTGTTTAATTAAAAACTATTACCAAGGAGGAAATTGGAACTAAATATCTCACTGGTGGGGAAAATATTGACTTACTCAGTATTTTTACATTACAGAAACTACATAATGAGAGGAGAATAATTTTTAAGATATTCCTAATGTAGAAGCAAGGAAAACCCCCAAATTAAATTAATGCCATGTTAGATATTAGGAAGAAAACTAGCTAAGTTGCATTCTTCCTCCCAGAACCATACTCCTTTTTCATTATAAATACTGCCCCCAGTTCTGTTCTGGTTTGCAAAACCTGTCAGAAAGAAGCTTGTTGAAGCCACTGTAAATATATCAATATAGGCATCTGAATGCAATCCCTTTGGCCAAACTGTTGAAATTGAGCAAGGCAGAGAAGCAATGCTTTTCTATTTGCACTTTGGCTTTTAAATAGAAGGACCTCTGCTCTGACAGTGGCCTGCACTGAACCATCCCATTTGCAGAATTTAGTAGCATCTCCTTTTGGAAAGTTTGCTGGGTACCTGGGAGGTCAGTAATCCTTAAGAGCAAAGGCACTTTTATGTAGTTATTTAAATATACTTCAGGATACTACTTATAGGCGCATAACATTCAATATTTTTGCTTATATATAATCTTTCTTAGCCTAAAACTGAGAAAGGGAGCACGGCTTCCCTGAGCCCCAACATACAGAGATGATTTATTTAAGAAGGTGATGAATTTTCATACTGGATGCAATTACCGAGGTCTATGCATGCACACAGATATCTTCACATGTGAATCTAACGAGGTTTCTAGGGAACTTGTAGCTATTACAGATTCACAGGCTCCTTCACTCAGCTCCTGGGAAAGCACTTACAGCTGATTCCATGCTAATTCATTGCCCAATGAATAAGTAAAATCTGTACAGTATAATAAAACCATTGATCATTATGCTTTAAAAAGATTGACTCCTAAATATTTAGGAAGCAGTGTGTATTCAATGGAAATGTTTATTGGCACTGGGAAATTAAACTGTCACCCGTGAAATAGTAAAACTCATTAATGCAGAGTTTCTTTTTAAGTGTTAGGAATTAACTTTACGACTGCATCAGTAATGGCAAGCCTCAGCCTTAAATCGCCTGCCATTTAGTATTCGCGAACATTATTAAAACATATTAACCGTAATTTAATTGACTGAAAATTAAAAAAAAAAAAAAAGAGGGGGGGAGGAGAAGGAAAAAAAAAAAATAGGAAAAAGTTGGCCGCCTTGAGCGCGGTGGCTGGTTTGGAAGCGATGAGAGGGCAGGGGGGGAAGGCAGCGCTGGGCCCGCGGGGCCGCGCTCCCTACGGCATCGTCCTCCCCCTTCCCTGGTCACGGAGCATCCAGCGCTCCCGGACCCACCGGCGGTGACAGACCCCCGGCTGCACCCGCCTTCGCCGAAGCGCCCGTAGAGCCGCCGCCGGTGCCCGCCCGCCGCGGCACCGCAAAGCCCAGCTCCCGCCTGCGGTGACAGACCCCGCTGGCACCGCCCGTAGGGCCAGCAGTGAAGCCCGGGAAACTTCCCGGGGGATCTCCCGGGGAAGAGGGAGCGAACAACCGTTTCCCACCCGGGACGTTGCGGGCGCGCCCCGGGACCCAGCCGCGCCCGTGGGAACCGACGACGCCCCCGGGGCCGGGCCGGGGGAAGATCCCCGGTGCCACCAGCGCCGCTCCGCCCAACGGGATGGAGCCAAACTGCGCCCGCAAATTCCCGGGACCCCCGACTCATGCGGGAGGGACCGAGCCCGTCCAGGCGGGCAGCCCCGGCCCCGTGGCAGCCGGCGGCGGGCGGCCGGGGCAGGGAGAGCAGCAGCGACACTGGCCGCAAGAAAACCGTGGCCAGCGGAACGACAGAAAACCGTGAGGGAAAGCCAGCCGGCGGCTCGTTGCAGGCTCCGGCGGCTCCCGTTCAAGGGCCGTTCCACGGCCACACCGGCAGGACGGTGGCCAGCAAATTCCTCCATCTGGCCGCAACTTTGCATTTCTAAGCTCCATTAGCAAACGGGAGCCGGGCTAACTTTCTTAGAGGTCACGTTACAATAACCCCCTTTTTCAGGGAGTTTTTTCCCCCCTCTCTCTTCCTCC